AAAGTGATAGAACGTGGTAATTTTGTAGAATTGAGATTTAAGAATCTCTCAAAAATGTTGATTTAATTGACTTAAATGAAAAGTTTAGTTACTTTATGGAACTGATTTCAATGGTTTAATGTGTGTTTTATCACTTTTTTTTAGTTTGTGTCACTTTTTTTTTAAAAAATAAAAAAGTGACAATTTTTATAAAAAAAAGTGACATTGTGTCACTTTTTCATTTTACACAGTATTTTTTACTTCCTAAAAACTTTTCATATGATTTTTCAAAACATCAATAATTTTAAGGGTATTTTTGTAAGTACCCCAATAAAGTTCCAGAAAATTTGATTGAGAAAATGTCTAGGAGCTTAACTATGACTCATTTCAAAATTAAGAAACAATGTTTAAAACTTCAAAAATTAGATAGTACTAAATTTTATTTATGAAATAATTAATTAAATATATCTTTTATTAATTAAATATATTAATGTCACAATTCTATACAATTTGGTTACAAATTAACGAATAAATTGGTTACAAATTATTTATCGGTCAAGAAAAAAATTTATAGATCACAAATCAAAATTTTTACAGGTCATAATTTATTTATTGGTCACAAATAAAAAAAAAATTGTAGGTCACAATTTATTTATCGATCGCAAATTATAAATTTTACAAGTCACGACTCGAATTTTTTTGTCACATCTCAAATAATTGGTTACATATTATTTATTGGTCATAAATTAACCAATTTATTGGTCATAAGCACCACCACCCAACGCCATCCCACTGTCCCACCACCACCACCACCACCGTCACCGCCACCGACTACCACCACCATCACTTTCACCACCATCGCCAATATAACTACCGCAACAAACATCACAACCACAACCACTCAAACACCACAGCAGTAACGATGCATACATGAGAAAACAGATGAAATAGAGGCGATGCATTATGCTGCGTACAGAGACGTTGCAGCACAACGCTGCCCAGCGCAGCACCTCCGCTACATGACGCTATCGCTGCACAGTCGCCACCCAGCACCGCACCTCGTGCGGCGTGCTATGTTACTGGAGCCACATGCTAAGTTGCCTTGATTGTTGGATGTTACATTAATGTTACCGGGTTTGTAGGTGCGTTGTGAAGTCGCCGATGAGGGTTTAAAATTTACAAAGAAAATAGAAAACGCCAAAAAAGTCGTTTTGGCTGTTTTCAGTTAAAACCAAGCCAAAACTTCATTTTTTTTTTTTTGAAAACAATTTTTCAAAATGACAAAAAGAAAACGTTTTCAACAATCTCAAAATGAACACTCAAAACACAAAATTAATTGAAAATTCAAAACTAAAAACTGAAAGACGAAGATAAGAGTCCCTAAACAATTGAAAATTGAAAGCACAAAAAGCCTTTTTAAGATACACGAGTCCAAGGAATCATTGACTCTAATTTCGTGATGGGAAAAATTCATGGATCAGGTATTATCTATCATGAAATTAAAAATCAGGCCTCAAGTTTTAAAATTGCAAAAATTAGGTTTTTCATGAATTAATTAATTATATTTTACAATTATTATATTAAATTAAATATTTAACTGTAATATAATATAATTAATCCACCCCACCCCAAATGCACCTCCACCTCTACTCCGGCGACTACTCTGTTTAAATTAAATATTAAACTATAATACAATATAATTAATCCACCTCACCTCACCTCACCTCACCTCTACCTCCCCAATTGCTCCGACGACTACTTCGGTGACCGGCGACCACTCCAACTACTGTTCTCTGGTCGCGCTTAATTTCGCCGACTATTTTAATGACCATTCCGTCACTGCTTAAATCCGATAATTGCTCTGATTCCGATGTCAAAGATAAGTAGTTAAAAATTTAATTTTAGGTCGCAACTTATCAAATTAATTAGTCACAGATTATATCGAAATCACAAATCCAAAAATTTATAGGTCACAATTGACTTCATTTGTCACCGATCAAAAAAATTATAGGTCACAGAAATCACATATTTCCAAATTTGTTGGTCACATTATATTTTGAGTCACAGATTAACGAATTCTAACGTCACAGACCACATAGTTGGTCACATACACCCAAACACCCGTCCCCCAATCCCATTACACCACCAATACTTGATCACAGATCGACCAAATAGTTGGTCACATACACTCTTCGTCTCATCTGCCCGTCGTCGCCACCTCCACCGCCCAACCACCCACCAACAATGACACCACCAACACCCACCATCATCATCGTCGACACGTCACAACACCACCACAACTACCGCCATAATAATAAATCATCAAAAAATCTACCTGAAGTTTGAGGTAATCAGGTTTCTTTTGTTCTCCTCTGACCAAATTGATGGGGTTGAGTTGAAACTGGACATCTTTCTCAAGAAGGCAGTCTAGAACCCTTGATACGGCGGCGGAATTTGGTGGTCTGTACACTTTAACCGCGCTTACCATTAGAAGAATTGAGAGGTTGTCTGCAACAGCTCGATCCTGACATTGCTGTCAGCGTCGTGACGCCGACAACAACGTTGACACTGTCGTTCGCTGCCAATCATAGGGGGGAGGGAGGAGAAGAGACAGAAGAGGGAGAGGGAGAGGGAGAGGGAGAGGAGGAGAAGAAAAATTGTTAGGGTTTGAGAAGTGGGATTGAAATTTGGTGGGGTATGTGGTATGGTGGATATATAGATTAATTTAATTTAAAATATTATTATTAATATTAATTGTAAAATTAAAACCTAATTTTTAATTAAATAAAGTATAAACTTGATTTTCAGAAACTTGAAACTAAANAATGCAATCAAAAGAAATGTTGGCTGCTTTTTTCCGCCCTGTCTCACGCGTAGTTCTGCAAGTCAAGCACGTCTTTTCAAATCTTTTAAAATAATGATTGTTAGGAATTGATATTTTTTTTATGATTAAAATCTCGATCGCTTAAAATTTTGATGATACCATCAAACAATTATAATTGTCTAACATTTAAATAAGCCAACAATAATCTACACAATTAAATAGTCAAATCAAAACGCTACACAAGTCAATTAGACTAAAATAAGCTACCCTATTTCATTCGCAATGATTGAATAAAATAAACATGAATTTCAAAGGTTAATAGTAGTACTAGCCGGAATCTAAGTTCGTGGAAGTAACAAAAGTCGACGAATCACATTTGCCTACACCGAATAATAATTCAACATGGACTAGGACATGTTGGAATTATAGCGTTTTGATGATTTGAGTAAAGTCAAATGTACAGAATAATGTTTCGCAGAAGTTTTACCAATACACACAAGGGTGGGGCCCACTGTAATAAAAAAAATACCCACCCCCTTGCATTTGTGAGTATCTGTGAACCAACCACCCCACCCCTCTGTGAACCTCCTTCTGCTAGCCAAGCATGGTTCTGATATTTTTACAATCCCAACATTTCAACGCTCTAATAATTCATTTGGTAGGTTGAATTGAATAGTTATGAATATGACTAAATATTGGAATTATAGCGTTTAGACGTTTAGTAAAAAGACATTGTTGAAATAGAAGATAGATTCAGCCACCATGATATTGATAGCTTTTGTCTATTATCGAGACAAAGATTTCCATGATTTTTTATTTTTCTTATAATATAATTAAGAGTAAATTATTTCCTTTTCTTTCCTTTCGTTGTCTTTTTTCTCTCCATCATAGTTTACAATTTCTAAATGGATTAAAAATACGCTTAGTCACCAAACATTTTTCATTTTGGTCACAAACTTTTCTTTTGTTCAAGATTAGTCCCTAAAATTTCATTTTCATTTCAATTTAGACACTACCTTTTGAAATTAATAGAGTTGCTTACTTATATGATAGAAATGAGGTTGACACTACAATTTATAAGTGTGTAAAATAACATAGGTAGGGAATGAGAGTTGTTGCTTGTTTAATAGGGTAATATAGTTTCTTATAAGGGTACGTGGGTAAATGGTGAGATGTCGTTGTGTATCCACTACTCCCACTTTGTACAGGTTGTATTGAAATTTATTCATTTCCTAGTTAATGTATCTATAAGGATTTTGTGTTGATTCTCTAGTATTATTTAAAGGGTGTTGAGGATTAGATGTTTTTGAAGTGTATACTATGTCCGCCCTCTAAATATAGAGGTCGAAACTCATAATAGATGCAGAGATAACTCGAAATCACAAGAAAAAAAATCTTGTTCTTGCTTCCAAGGCTCACCATTAAGATATTACATATGACCTAACAAACTTGCATGAAATTCAAGATAAGAATCTTGTTGTTCATTAAAATCGCAAGTAATTTATTAATGAGTTGATATATGCAGATTGTGTGAATTATTTTTTATTATTGACTTTAACATAAGCCATTTGTGATGTCGAATTTGTTTTAACTAAAATTACTTGAAGAGTTAATGATTTTTTACAATTTTGAAGAAAAATCGATTTGGTAATGGTACTGCACTTGTATCTTTCCACTTAAATTCTCAATTTTCCGTAATTGACCAACACCATATAATTGATTATTAGCAATTTATTTTGTCTAACGATCTCTATCAAGTGGGTTAAGCAAAATTTTGCGGACGATATTCCTATATCTTTATGAAATATGCGAAAAATCACCCTGCTCAATTAATTCTCTCATGCTAGCAGACTTGACAGGGGTGATCTTCGTTAAGCCTCGTAAGTAGAATTTTTATTTCGTTGTTTCTTCTCATGTCACAAGACCCAATTATTTGCATAGTTGTCGGCATTTCATTACCCATTTCTTATTTCAGTCCTGTATTCTAAAGAATTGGACTGAAGAACCAATTTACACTTGGAATAATATTTTATAAGGATCTGGGATGCTCTCTGAAATAGACAATAAACGAGTTGATTTAAAAATAATTGCAATTCTTACTCAAAATATTGACAAGAGAGCATCTATGAAACTTGTACATTTCATGCTTCAAGCAGTGTTAGATCTTCCTGTACTGCAAAAGCAAAAGTATGCTGATGTTTGAAATACTAATCGATTACAATGAACTCGATCAAATTTTGCTGTTCCCCTTTTTTTTTTTTTTTCCTTTCATTTTTTCCAGCAGTACTTTAATAACACGAAGGGATTCAAGAATTGGTTTTTTTTTTTTTATAACAAGACGAGTGATAACGTGCATTACCTTATAATCAACAAGAGTAGGACATAATTACAACACATCATGTGCAATAACTAGGTATGAACGATCCTTATGTTGATTGCTTATTCTTCTTCACCAGCTGCTCAATGTCTTGAATCAGCAGCGTCGTGTTGAGATAGGACAATCCATCTTCTTCTACTGATTTCTTTGCCATTTCTTTTAACTCTTTTGCTTTTTCCCTTCTCTCACATCCTTTTATTCCCTTATCCATTACAATATCAGTGGCAGCCTTAACTTTGTCCTTCATCACCTTCGCCCCAGACATTTCTTGGGTGATCCAGTCTACAGCACCTTCAGCTCCAACTCTTACACCTGTGCCCAAAATCTGTACTACTAATTTTTCATTAAAAAATTGCTCGGCAAACAAAGGCCATGTGATCATTGGCACGCCAGCACATATTCCTTCTAGAGTTGAATTCCAACCGCAGTGTGTTAAGAATGCTCCTATTGAAGAGTGGGATAAAATCAGTACTTGCGGCGCCCAACCTCGGATCAAAAGGCCTCTTTCCTTTATTCTTTCCTCAAATCCATCTTCCAAGACCCACTTCTCTATTTCTTCTCCTCCTTTTGTCACTAGAATAAATGGATAATTTGACGCTTCTAGGCCTAAAGCCAGCTCTATGAATTGTGAAGGTGTTAGACGACTGAGGCTTCCAAGACACACATAGATTACAGAATTAGGCTCTTGTGAATCAAGCCACTTCAAGCACTGATTCATATCAATGGAGGCCTCGTTCCCTCTTTGAGCTTTGTCCAAATTCTCCCTGTTGAAAAGTGATAGTGGACCAATGCACCAAACCTTTCCCCCTCTGATCTTCCTAAATTCATCAACATACCTTTGTTCCAAATGTTCGAAACTATTGACCACCACCCCATAAGATTGTGTTTCAGTTGCTTGTATCTCTTCAAGAATATCGTGGATTCCATTTGCCGGGCCTGGATTGAACCATACAGGCAGCTGGAGCTTTGTAAACTCGACTTTATGTGGTAAATTAGGCACGACGAAAGGCTCCATCTCAGGCACACTTTCATGAACCTTGGAAATGTGCAAATTAAGCTCAATTAGTTGTGTGAAGCAACTCGTTCCATCAAAAACAATCCTCGGAACCTGAAGATTATTTGATAAATCAACAGTCCATGTCAGATGCTTATCGCATATAATGCAACTTGGAGCTGGCTCAAGTCCTTGCAGCTTTTGTTCCAGTGGCTTTTGTAGCATTCTGAGTGCATTAAAGAAGTTCCTCGTTAACTCATAGGACGGTAAATCGTCTCCATTTTCACATCCAATGGGCAAACCAGCTTCCTCACATGGAAACCGGAGCTGAAGAAGCTGAATGGGGAGTCCAGCACGATCAATCACTGAATTGAACCGGATGGCATTGAGGGCGTCGTGACTACTGTTACACGAATACCGCGTTCTGCGAAAAGTTTTGCCATGTCTATCATTGGAATCATGTGGCCAGGGGCAAAAAAAGGTATGAAAACAAAGTTTAGCATCTCTGGTTGCGAAGTCATTGAATTGAATTCTCAGAGCCTAGATTGATTATAGATGCTAAATATGCAAGGTATTTATAAGCTGTCTGTTCTTGATTCTTTCATCCAAAGAAGTGATTTTTTGACCGTTCATGGGTCCCACGGTAGAAAGAGTTGGTCAAGCTTTTCGGCTGCAACGGTTACATAATCAATTTTAAACTGATTTTTAGCAAGAACAGACAGGCCCATAAACTTGTTATTGGGATACTCGATTGCTCAATACTCGTGGATATCTTTTTCGGTTGTGCTACATGGACATCACAATTTACAAATTTGTTTACCAACAGATAATGAGACGAGATTTGATTGGGTCAAAAACTCATCAATCATAAAAATAAAAAATAAAAAATAAAATCTCCCCTACTTTCTTTTGATACCTCGTCGATCTGTTATGTAAATTGTGTAGTACAACAAGTATTTTCCTTTTTATTTTTTTCTTATCCAAGGATGGATAGTGTTCTTGGTATAACTGTACATAGAGTCAACTATAACAAAAAGTAGAAACTATATGACAAATCATATCAAAAGATGACGTAAATGCATGCCCTATTGACTAGGTCACGAGTCAAATAAACTCGCATGGAGAAACTAGGGCATCCACATATTAATATTATTCCTACCATTTAGTCGTTGGAATCTATTAGGAGATATTGTGGACTATGATTTGTGTCGATCTTCTTTTTGATAGTAGTTATCAGGGTGAGCTGTATATTGTCTTTTTTTTTTTTTTTCAACAGTTCTACCTGACTATTCTAATCCATTTAAAAGCGGCATATTCCATGAAGAAACGGTCAACAACTTCGTGCTTGTGGACTAGGAGAATCTATTAGGAGATATTGTGGACTAGGTTCTTTTGTCATGTTGATCTCTATCTCTATCTCTATCTCTATCACTGTCAATGTCATTTTAATAGACATTTTTTGAAACGGTCAACAACTTCGTGCTTCTATCATACAACGATCATTCCTCGTTTCTTCCTGTCATCCGAAATCATGCGCAAGAGCTAGAGTCAGAAATTTGATTCCCTCAATTTGTTCCAAAGAAAGAATTGAGCTCCTAAATTATGGTAAAAAAAGTCAGGAAACAAAATTTTCTCAAAAGATTCTGTTTAAGATAGTAAAGTAACAGAACTAATCTCTTATTAATGGGTAGGAGATATGTGGCCAACTGAACGTGTTGCCACATCACCAACATTTTAGACTCCACCAGTGATGTGGCAACAAATAGACAACTCATCTCCCGCCCACTATGAGCAAGAGACCAGTTATGAGTAAACAGATAGGCAATGTAATGCCCCGAAAATTTTTATAGAATATAATTTAATTTTCATATGCTATATTTTAATGTTTTGAAAGTTAGAAACTAAAACGATACATTTATTAAATTATATTTTATATGGGTCATATGTTTTAGATTTTGACCAAGTAAGGATAAGTACATGAATATTGGTCTCATTAGATAAATCGTAAATAATTATGAATATTAGGCTCGAGAAAAAGTTAATTTGGCTTAACGGAGCCCAAGTTATCGAGGTCGAGAGATGTGGCCTTAAATCGTATTTTAGTTGATTAATTAATGACTTTAGAATTTTGCCGTGGTTGACACGTATAGAGCAAGAATTGTTTTGGTAGGTTAGTGATTGATTTAAAAAAAAAAAAATTATAGGATGCCACGTATGGTTTGGTTGAGATATTTCTTTTCACTAGGAATCATGGATAGAGCCG